ACCAAGATTTTAGGAGATTTTAAGAGATTGTTAGTAGATTTTTCATGATTTACTATTTCTGGTCCAGTGTATAAGCTATAAATAATGTAATTGTGTAACTCTTTGAGCATCAAGTCAGTAGACAATAATAAAGCACTGCAGCTTTCATCGATTCTATCTTTTCATATCTCTTTCCACTATTCCTTCTTCAAACAATTTTGGTATCAGAGCCAAGTTCGTTCGATACCAAGGCGAGTGATTATTTTCTTTCACAAAACAAAAATGACATTAGCTGGTTTTTCTTCCTCTACACAGTTGTTACCAATCTTTAATGGTGAGAAATATGAGTGGTGGAGCATCAAGATGAAGACATTGCTCAGATCGCAGGATCTATGGGACTTGGTGGAGCAGGGTCTGTTGATGTATTAGAACTCACAGTAGAAGAAAAGGAGAGACTAAGTGAAACCAAGAAAAATGATGCCAAGGCTCTATTCATTATTCAGCAAGCAGTTCATGAGACTATCTTTACACGAATTGTAGCAGCAACCACATCAAAGCAGGCATGGTCAATTCTACCGAGGGAGTTTCTAGGAGATTCAAAAGTCATGACAGTGAAATTGCAATCTCTAAGACGTGATTTTAAAACTCTACTCATGACGAATGGCGAATCAATTGCTGATTTTTTGTCAAGAGCAATGGCAGTAGTTAGTCAGATGCGTACCTATGGAGAGAAAATCTCAGACGAAACAATTGTTGCAAAGGTGTTCAGAAGCTTGACTCCAAAGTTTGACCATATGGTGGCTGCCATAGAAGAAGCTAAGGATCTATCCATACTCTCCGTTGATGAACTGATGGGCTCGCTTCCGGCTCATGAGGCAAGAATCAATAGATCATCAGAAAAGAATGAAGAAGAGGCACTTCAAGTGAAGGAGACAACCAGCCACGAAAATAACGAAAAGAAAATATTCATTTAGCAGGTAGAAGTCGTGGAAGAGGAGGATTTCACAACTTCTATGGTGGTCGTGATAACAGAGGTAGATGGGGAAGTGATGAACATAGACAATTCAATGAACAAAGGAATGTCATACAATGTTACCATTGCATAAGGTATGGGCACACAAAATCTGATTGTTGGTATAAAAATCAACGAATGAATTTTGCAGCAGAGAATGAAGAAGAAGAAAAGTTGTCTGTGGCGTGCATGGATACTAATCCGAAAAAAGGTGACTTATGGTTTGTTGATAGTGGATGGATGCTCGAACCATATGACATACACCAAATTCTTATTCAAAGAGCTTGATGAGACGCAAAAGATTAAGGTGCAACTTGAAAATACAAAAGAGATGCAAGTTGAAGAAAAAGGGACAGTGAAAGTCGAAACTAGTCATGGTAAGATAAAACAATTAGATAATGTTCAATTTGTACCTGATTTAGGGTACAATTTATTGAGTGTTGCACAATTGATGACCAGAGGACATTCAGTTTTATTTGATCACAACACGTGTCATTACACATAAAAAATCAGGCCATAAAGTTCAAATTGTCATGACTTCAAATAAGATGTTTCCACTCCATGTTTCTAACATGGAGGATTTTGCTCTTACTACTAGCACGAAAGATGACTCAACATTATGGCATCTCAAATATGAACATCTTCATATGAACGGCCTAAAAATACTCAGGGATAAAGGTATGGTTTTCGGATTACCAAGAATTGATTTAATTAATTTGTGTGAATGATGCATTTATGGCAAGCAGACTAGGAAGTCCTTTCCCATTGTAAAAGCTGTAAAAGCTAAAAGAGCTTCACATTATCTAGAACTAATTCATGCTTATTTATGTGGGCCAATGCAAACGAAGTCCTTGGGTGGGAGTATTTACTTTTTACTATTTATTGATGACTATAGTCGCATGAGCTGGGTTGACTACCTACAACATAAGTCATAAACTTTTCAGAAGATTTTTAAAGCTACGGTGGAGAACCAAAGTGGCTGTCACATTAAAGTTCTTCGCACAGACAGAGGTGGCGAGTTCATATCTAAAGAGTTTAATCTATTTTGTGAAGAAGAGGGCATCCAAAGAGAGTTAACAACTCCTTACACTCCAGAACAAAATGAAATCGCTGAACGAAAAAATCGAACTATTGTGGAGATGTCATGAACTATGTTACAAGCAAGGAGACTTCCAAACCAATTTTGGGCAGAAGTCGTAGCAACATTTGTTTATCTATTAAACATCTCACCAACAAAGGCGGTTATGAATCGAACTCCTTATGAAGCATGGCATGGAAGGAAACCATCTGTAAGTCATTTACGAATCTTTGGCTGTGTTACTTATGCTTTGAAACATCCTCAAATTCGTCAAAAGCTTGATTAAAAATCTGAAAAATGCATTTTCATTGGCTATTGTACTCAATCAAAGACATATAAATTATATGCCCCCATTAGTGAAAAGATTTTAGTTAGAAGGGATGTGATATTTAATGAAAACGTGAGTTGAGATTAGAGTAAAGATCAGGAGCAGCAAAAGATTATAGTTGAAGTTTTCCCAAATGAAGAGACAACGGTTGACTCCAGTGCATCTCCCAGTGCATCCACTGCAACACAAAGTGTGTCAAATTCATCATATTCAGCATCACTGAACAACAATTCTTCTCTTGAAGAACTTTCGGATGAGACACCTCCAAGGAAGTATAAATATTTAGTTGACATATATGCATCATGTCAATTTGCTCTTACTGTTTCAGACCCTATGAATTATGAAGAAGCAACTGAAAAAGAAGACGGGAAGAAAGCCATGGCAGTAGAGATGCAGTCCATTAAGAAAGATGGAACATGAGATATGGTTGACCTACCAAACGAAAAATTTTATGGAGATTTACAAGAAGAGGTTTATGTAACACCGCCAGAGGGATTCATAAAGGAAGACAAAGAAACAAAGGTATACAAGCTGAGACAGACATTGTACGGGTTAAAGCAGACATATTTACGAAGGCCTTGTCAAAAGAAAAGCTCTGTACTTACATTTGCAACTTTGAATCAAGGGGGAGTGTTGAGATATGATTCAAAGTATTCAAAATGAAGATATGATTTAAAGTAGTTGAGATATGATTCAAATATTTAAACTACCAAGATTTTAGAAGATTTTAAGATATTGTGAGTAGATTTGAATTTATCTAGATTTTTATGATTTACTATTTCTGGTCCAGTGTATAATCTATAAATATTGTGTAACCCTTTGAGCATCAAGTCAGTAGACAATAATAAAGCACTACAGCTTTCATCGATTCTATCTTTTCATATCTCTTTCACTATTCCTTCTTCCAACAGGTACAGCTCCCCTTATAAAAGATTTTGTATTTTAATCAACTTTTTTTTTCTTATGTTGTTGTTCAGTTTAGAAGCTTAGTGTTTGAATTGGCCTGAATGGATGCTGATAGACATAGACAGGGACTTTTGTTTTTGATGCATCACTCTTGAATTTGATTCTTTAGTTATGTAAAATAGAGTTAAGGGTCATTTAAATACAGGAGAACCATTGTTGTAGAATAGCTTTCACTTCAGTGTTAGGAGGGCATGTGTGGTTGCGGTAAGAAATGAAGAGGTGAAGGGGAAATCATGACCATTAGCTCATTATGTTATTGGCTATTTGAATGAGAAGCATAAATATAGAAATTAATATAACAAAGATGCAATACTATATTTTTAATGTCTAGAACACATTCTAAATTACCATAATTGAGCGATTAAGTAACTGAGAATTGCTTGGAGAGGGGTGAAAGGGAAATGATTGAGAGTGAGAAATTGATAAGATATGAATGATTAAAGTGGATAATCATAATAAGATTGGAGACTTAAGTAAGATTTGATATAACTTAGTTGGAAGGGAAACAGTGTTGTGTGGGATATTAAGTAAGATTGTTAGAACTCGAGCAAACAAGAATAATAATAGAGACTCTGTAGGTTTTGTTTGTTTTAATTTTATTGCAATTATACTAGGGAAAGATGTGTAATTTGAAGTAAGGTTTGAATTTTAAATGTGTGAAAAAATGTGCCCAATTTTTCAATAACAAAGTTGCAAAGTTGCACAAGCCTCTTTCCATTACCTTCCCAAGGATTCAAATATGCTTTTGCAGATACCCACATTTTGCTTCTGCAAAGAATTTTAAATCCTTCTCAATATGTAACAAATTTTTCTCTGCTTATTTATCAATTTTTTTTCAATATTTACCATTTTGGTTTTAGTTGATTATGTGAGAATGAGTACATGTGAAAAATGTTAATGTATGCCTTCTTCCTCTTTCCATTTCTTTTTGTCTACATTTGATCTTTTTAGTTATTTATTATCTCTTACACATTGTTTTAAATCACTTTGAAAAATATTTATCTAATGATAAATTTTTAATTAAAAGACTATTATCAATTACAAAGAAGACTTTTAATCTTTTGGTACCTTCTTGATTTAAGCTTTGCAGCATACAATTTGTTAAAGTAAGCTACACTGTCATTAGTGTTGTCATCATATATTTGTTTTGGTTATGGTTCTTATACAGTGCATATAGGGTTAGTTGTTGTGGGAATAGGTTGTTATGGAATGGGAGTATGGTCAAGGAATAGATGAAAGTGTTTCTCTATCTTCTTTCTTACATTTCTTTGATATTGAGTAATTGTAAACTAGTTTCTTCATGAATAGGTGGAGAATGAGATCATTTTCGAAACTTGTTACAAAAATTTCTAATATCTCACTACTAGTCTACACTGTATAAGTCTCATCTTTTTGAAAGAATACCTTCATAGCTTTTAAATATAACATTTTGAACTAAAAACTATAAAAAATTGAACATCATGGGCTATATATTTTGTTGTACAATTTTTTAACTCCCACCTGCAATTTTTATTTCTCTCCCTTTCCATCTTTTGGTTTTTGTCCATTTCATTTCACAACTTCTTTCCCTCCTCGACATCAAAATTCTTCTTTCATTTTTTTAATCTACTTCTATATTACTAATTATCCTCATTTAGTAGGTTAGAGAGATGAAGATGAGCAGAGCAACAGTGACTTGAAGGAAGAGGTTTTCGAGATTTCGTACCAGGAGCCTCCAAAGATTTAGGTAAGTTCAATTGGAATTGGTTGCTATATTTTATATTCTTGATGTTCAAGTATGGATTTACGGTCACTTCCTCAAATACTCTATTCTATTTATGATTGTTTTGAATTTTAAAGTGGTTTTGGCTGAAGAAGATGTAGAAGTATAGAGATATTTTGATTCTAAGTTTGATCTTCATTTGAATGATGTGAATTTTGTTATTATGGTTGGAAGTGAGATTTGAGAATCTCTTCCTAGTTTGGAAGAATTTTGATTTTTGAATTTGAACTTATACAACAAGTTTCTCTATATTTAACGATTATACCTGTGAAATTTGGAGAACTCTCAAGTTTAGATTTCACCTTTTTTTTCTTTATAATCATTTTTTTTTTAGGATTGAGCCAAAATTTTCCATTTTCTACTATGGATTTGAGTGGTTATAAGTAATAGTAAATTCTGGTTTCTATTTTACATTTTTTTTTTGTTCAATTATCTTATAAAATGTTGTTTTAATATGTCAGCTGAAAAGTTTGTAAGAGTATACTCCCCGAGCAAAGATGATAGAAGACTTACAATACAAAGCTTTGACATGATAGCGACTCTCATTCATTGAACAATAGTGCAGATAGCGGAGAATACTTTATCTTGTATCATTGGAATAACCCTTTATTTTAAGAAATTATTGAATACATTAGTTTGTAACCTAAATAGATTATAAAATTTCAATTATGAATTGAAGTCATGTATTATGTATTTAATGTGTGTTTAGTTAAAGATGAATACTTGGATCAAATTTTATTACAATATAATTAATTCAATGATATTTAAATATTAAAATAAATTTTGAAAAAAAAAAAAAAAAATTCTATGGAAATGTTATTAGAATAATTATAATAATTATAAATGATTAAATAACTTTATTATAGCATAATATTAAAACTATAAATGTTATATTATAGCGTTAAAAAATGCAATTATAAGCTAAAGATAACACAAAACTTTAGTTATGTTAAACATATAATAGCATTAATAAAACGCTATAAAATGATTATATAACAATGTATAAAAGGTATAACTTCATACTTTATTATAACTACAAAAAAAAAAAAAAGCTATAAAAAGTCTATGATATCATTTTTCGTAAGCTATTGTATTCATTGTTTCTTGTCGTGCGACATATATTATGATATTAAGAATTGTCAACTTATTTTGGTCATGATTGGTAACCAAAACAACTATACGAGATGCGGCATTGCTTTCCAAGAATTTTGGCTTAGAATAAAGGTAAGGTCGAGCATTAGGACTTAGCCTAGAGTAGAGGCAAGTATGATTAAACAGAATTTAGTCACTGCATAAGTTATGTTGGGTTAACGAAGAATAACCCTGTCAAAGGTCTAATAAAGCCACAATGTCCATAACATTATACTCAAGAATATGTGTTACAATTAACGACGGATGGTTAACGATGGCTCTTATGAGTTGTTTTTGTAAATCACAAAAATACTAAGGAATGTGTATGTTTGACTATAAAACCAAATTGTACAATATTTGCCACGCTTGGCTGCCTAAATGAATGTAACTAATCAATATATCCGGAAACTTCAAATATAATATTATAGTAAATCATATTAATTTGTTGTTCTTGTGTGTATTTTTTCTTTTTTTAAAATTTGATATGGGGTATTAGTTTTAATGAATTATAATATTAAGATTTGTTAAGGTAATTGAACCTATACACTACTTATTTATTAATTTCTTCCACTTTGATCGAAATTATTTGAAGATGTCCCCGCAATGTGGTATAGATAGGATGAGTTTATGTCTATCTTGTTCGCTTGGTTCAGGCGGCCTTCCCTTATCTTCTCTGACGTTGAGAATATTTCTTGTTTGAGAAATGAGTGCACCCGAATGCCCAACTCTAGATATTTTACAAAAAGAGGAAACAGATAGTAGACATAATTTTCCTCATTTATGGAAAAACCCGGGTACTTTTATAAAAAATAAACTAAACTCAAATGTGGTAAGAATACAAAAAGTAATTAACTTCTTTTTTTTTCCATCCCTTTTTAAATTTAAAATCTCATTAGCCTTTAATCTTACATTACATGTCTCTGTTGTTTCGGCCAAAAGGGGTTCGTTTTCAATCTTGACGCAACCTGGTCGCGTTATTTTTATTTTCTTTTCTATTTACCATTGAAATATCAATTAAATTTATAGCCACCCAATAAAAATAATTTATTTTACAAGCTTGCTGGAATCAACATGATTAGCGTCACGGTCTTACATAGGTCGCGTCATGGTTTTTGTTTATTAGTCTCTCAAATGGTCTGATGGGCGCCACTCGCATGTTGCCTTCTTGTATATCGTGTAGGTCAAAACCTACTCTCTTAGATATGATATTCTCTATGAGAGACGTCACAAAGCGGTGAACAAAATATTTTTTAGAAGGGTGTGAAAACCTCTGAAACAAGCGTTTTAAAACCTTGAGAGAAAACCCCAAAGAAAAAAATATCTAACGGGGAATTTGACATTTTAATCAAAAGTACATAATTTATAACAATTTAGCTATGTTATACTAAATTATAGTACTTATGGAAATTGTTTTCGGGTAAAATATCAACAAAACTAATTAATTTCTATTCGGATCATAATCTAAATGTGAATGAGATTATACTCTCGACGATATTAGAGATTCAAATCGCTCTATACTACACGTTCTTGAACTCATTTTTATTCCACATTAACGTGATAGCAACCCTATTACAAAGGCTTGATGGAGCTTCCAAAAGCAAAAGGGTAATAAACTAGTTTACATACAAAAATGACGTGACGTCTAATGGCTCTAAACTGCAAACTCGTCGGGAAGGAGGTCAGCTCATAAGTGCAAGTGTACACCATTATCAAGCAATTGCTTAGAGTATTCTAAGATGTCGAACATATAGTACTTGTACACAATTAGATATCATTTTTGGTAAAAAGCTTATCAAATTGCAACAAAAATAGTCATAGAATTATTTCTAGGGTTTCTTCTTCCCTGCGACCATCCTAATCAATATCGAAGGTTGTTCTCCTTTCATAGGTGTTTATGGATGAGTTGGTTGTTGAAATTCAGGCGTAGAGCTCGACTTTCAAGCTCTAACTTCAAATCTGGTGGATGTGAAATGAACTCAATTTATTTTGACGCATACTAAACAAACGAGATGTCGTATTTTGGGTCAAAATATTATTTAGATACATAACCGTTCGTAGATAAGGTATGAGCTACACTAAGCGCAATTTATTAGATACGGTATGAATTAAGATCACAAAGTTCGATAGTTAAATTTCTTACTCTTGACATGTTGAACTAAAATAAAGAAAATTTAGAGACCTATTAGACATTCTACCAAGTTTATGGACAAGTAGATATAAAGTTGAAAGTTTGTGAGGGACTAAACGTATAATTTAGATAAATTTAAATGTCCAATAAGCTTTCTTTATACTACATCTCTCTTATATAACATTTCTTTTTTGAAGCTTGATATGATTAGCATAAATGAATTATAAACGCTACCGACGTAAGTTATGATATTAAGAATTGTTAACTTATATTGGTCGTGATTGACAATAAAAACAACTATATGAGATGCAATATGACATTCGAAGGATTTTGGGTCTAGAGTAAAAGTAAAGGCGAGCCTTAGGACTTGGCTGAGAGTAGAGGCAAGTCGGTTAAAATTTCTATCAAGTGAACATATACTCATTTTTGCTACATGTGTCATTGAACAAAGCTTAGTTTCTACATAAGTTATGTTCGGTTAGCAAAGAAGTTTAAATTGCTCTATACAATAACTAATAATGTGTTGGAAAAGTAAATTTTTTTTAATTAAAAAAATCCGTTATCAAACATGGTTCTATTTAAATTGCCCTCCTTTGTGACAAGAATACAAAACACCGAAACCTACCCTTGTCATCAGCTTTAACGTTAAAGGCCTGTAACATTACACTCAAGAATATATGTTACAGTTATCGACGGATGATTAACGATCGCTCTTATTGGTTGTTTTTGTAAATAACTAAACTACTAATAATAATAAATAAAACAATAGATAAGTAAGCACGCAATATTTTGTCACCCATTCCAATACAACAGATCATGGGAGCCATTAACAATTAAAACTAATTTTGCAAGTATAAAAGTGAATCAAACCAAGCACAAGTATTCTCATACTTCAAAATGAATTCATTTCCAACTTTTGCCCTTTCTCTCTTAATTTCATTGTTCTTCGCTTACCAACTCAATACCGTCGAAGGATCAATATGGCAAAACCCAAGGATTTTCGTCAAGATAACAAATGCTCTAAAAGCTAACAATCAGCTCACTTTTCACTGCAAATCTTGCGATGTTGAACGAGGTAATGTTAAAGGAAAGACTCAAGCGAAAACCAAGTAAGAGAGTTGTAATGCCCGATAATCAAGAAGGTCCGGAGATTCTTTCCTAGATGTACTCTCCGATTCTCCTTCATCATCTTTTTGCACTTTCTTTGTGGGCGGAAATGGAACTAGGGTTAGCTTCAAGCTACTTCTGACTAAATCCCATAGAATCTCTTCCCGTTGGAACCAATGAAGCAAATGATTGACCCATCATATCATCCGAAGAAACGGTTTCGTGAGGCTAATCAAACAACGGCAGATAATTCGAGAAAAGGGAAGGGAATAGAGGTTCCGAGGAAGGTTCAGTCGCTTCTCTTTCTTCTCATCACCCAGCTCTTTTTCTTTTCTTATTATTTATTGATTTGGGAGTCCACAAGCTGGCACCGTCGGACAGCTACGAGTTCAGCTTTCGTCCAAATTTATGACAATCAACATTGTTTTACTGTTCCTTCCAATGGCCTGACTCATTTCATTACTTCGATATCTACATAGATAAGAGAGATAGAAACAATTGCGTAAATACTCTATGTTCGTGGTACGTGAGGGAGCAAAATATCTGTCTGTTCAACTATAAAACCAAGAATTATCAAATTTGCTATGAGTGGTTAGGT